AAGCTCGGTAGCGATGGTCTGCTAGCGTACGGAATCCCCTTCCAGCACCTCATCGTGCCCCAGGCTGGGGTCGACCTGCCTGTCCTCAACGACACCCTCACCCACGGCAACTTTGGTGGTATTATTGTCCTGAGTGCTGTATCTTATGACTATGGTACCGGTGTCGGCTGGCGCAGTGCTATAACTGACGCCCAGTGGGCCACCATCTACGCTTATCAGAGTCGTTTCAATGTTCGCTTGGTCCGTATTGACGATTATCCTGGACCTTCCACTGGAACGACCCCCGCTGCCGGAGGCTGCTGTGATAGCACTGTCGACCAGAGAATCTACTTCACCGACACCAGCTCCTTCGCTTCTGCTGGTCTCGTTACCAACGCGCAGGTCATCACTACCGGTCTGTATCACGTCCCTGCCAGCATCACAGATGCCTCAACTACTCGCCAGATCGCTGCCTTCAACGCTGTTTCTGGCAACGCTGGTGGTGTTGCTGGCGTTATCAACAACTTCAACGGTCGTGAGCAGTTCGTCTGGTTTATCAGCTGGGCTCCTTCTTGGTCCATGACCTCTTCCTGGCTCCAGCATGCCCACATCCACTGGATGACCCGTGGTGTCTTTGTTGGCAAGCGTAAGATCCATCTGAACGCTCAGATTGATGACGTCCAGCTTTCTACTGAGATGTACTACCCCACTGGTATTCCCGAGGTCAAGATCACCACTGTCGACCTCGAGGCTCATGTCGACTGGCAGGTCAGCATTAACTCACGCATGCCTACTGGCTCAGACTTCTGGCTCGAGCTGGGACACAATGGAAACGGTGATCTTATCAATGCAACCATTGGCGACACCAAGAGCATCTGCAACCCTGATGATGCCGTCTACTGGGACCTGGATATCCAAGCACCCCACGAGTGGAGGAAGCCCTTGGGAACTGGTACCGATGTCTGGCCAGCTGACAAGGAGGTGTACTCGTGGTCGTCGGCTTGTGCTCTCTTGGACCCCTTCGCCAAGTGGTTCACCAACACCAATAACCTCAACAAGTTCGCCCACATTTCACACACCTTCAGCCATCTTAACTTGAACAATTGCACCTACCATGACTCCAAGCGAGAGATCCAGTTCAACCAAGCTTGGCTGAAGCAGATCGGTATTGACAAGGCTAAGCGCTACACCGGAAACGGAATCATCCCTCCCCAGATCACTGGTCTCTACAACGGTGACTCTCTCCAGGCTCTCGAAGATAACGGCATTACCCACTGTGTTGGTGATAACACCCGTCCCCAGACTCGTAACCCGGACAGCGTCTACTGGCCTCTGATTACCAACTTTGCCACCAACGGCTACGATGGCATGGTCGTCATTCCTCGCTTCTCTTCCCGTATCTACTTCAATTGTCACACTCCGTTGTGTACCCTGACAGAATGGATCAACACCTCAGCTGGAACTGGCGACTTCAACAACTTGCTCAAGGTTGAGAGAGAGTCATCGGTCCGAAACCTGCTTGCCCTCATGTCTGACCCATACATGTTCCACCAGGCCAACATGTATACCACCGGTAACGATATCTTGACCATCGGTGACCAGACCCGCCGCATGTCGCTTGTTATGGCCTGGACTGAGACTATCATCCAAGAGCTCTACCGTATCACTAGTTGGCCAGTCAAGAGCCAGACCCAGGCTGAGATGGCCGTCTACTACCTCGCACGAAAGACTGTCGACGATTGTGCTCCCAACCTGTCCTATGTCTGGTCTCAGGACGGCAAGAGCCTTACGTCTGTCGTTGTCACTGCCAAGGGCAACACTTGTGCTTCACCCATCCCAGTCACCATCCCTGCGGGCACTGTCACCGCCAGTGGCGGTACCTTCACCTCTGATGTCGTCGGCAAGGAGCCGCCCATCATGTGGGTTACGCTCAAGGGATCGCCCGTCACCTTGACCTTGGGTACCAAAGTCGCTGCCTCCTCCAACTCGACTACCTCCTCATAAGCGAGGATGAGATCTGGACTTCAACGAGGTCTTACTTCACGATTTGAAAAAAAAAGTATTAATATGTTGGCTATCAATTGGCTTTGAATTGTTTGGATAACCGTTCTTTTCTTTTCATGAGATGGATCTCATCCGATCTCAACTCAACGTCTGCATTTGTTTGTTACTTAGATATGTAGTCACGGCTTATCTGGTGTTATCTGAGCTTTTGGGAGCGTTTTCAAAAAATGACAGATCATGATATTATGCTCTGAATGTCTGGACATCCTCCTGTGATCAATCTGGCTGTCTCTGAATGAGTTCTTCCTGCTCGAGTTTCAATATGAGAAATAGTGCGTTTAACGAAGCTTGGGAATACGATAGGTAGCGTTAGAAATGTTGCAAGACATAGTTTATCCTTGATTTGAAATGTTAGCCTTTCCATCATTCTTCTTGCTACTTGATAATCTTTTGACACCTACCGTTTGATGCCTTCCCGGAGAGTCGCTGAATCCACGCTGAATACAAGCCGGAATCTCCCTGCGGTCGGAGCGGAAAATACTGCGCCGCGGTCCACGAGGACGCCTGCTTCCTCGAGTCGTTTTGCAATCAGCTGCTCGGCGAACCAAGGGTCATAGTTGGCTCCAATCGATGGGATGAACCCTCTCAAGTCAAGCCAGATGGCAAGACCGGAATTCCTGTATCATTTTAGTTACATTAGAATGGGTGAGAGTCATTAAATCGAATGGAGGCTCGAGTTACCCTCGATTATGGAATGGAATATCGGTTTGCTTGAGAAGCTCCTCGGCGTATAGACGACCTTGTAGAAGCTTACGTCGAGACTCTTGTAGGAATTGGTGTACAAACTGACGATCTTCAAGAAACTTGGCGGCCAGACCCATAGAGAACTTTGAAGGCGAGGCAAAGCGACTGGAGGATGGAGTATTCAGCGATTTGGTCACCTGGAAGATATGGCCAGTGAGTGGACTTACGACACGGCTTGAACCGCTTTAGTGAAGTTTTGATTTTGCGAGATTACACAACCTAGACGCATTCCACCGGCCCCGTAATCCTGTAGAAGAATGTAAGCAATGGACGCTAGCTCATGGACGAATGATCCTCCCCCGCTTACTTTTGACATGCCGTAGAGAACATGAACCTGGCGAGAATCGATAATGCCCGAAGGGTCGACGGATCGTACGGATGTGAACGTTTCGGACGGCCGATCCCCTCTTTTGTAGGTTGACAGTGCGTATATTTCGTCGCTAATTAGGTGGATTTCTTTGGAAGCGCAGAATTCCATCAACGCTTTGAGAGTCTCGGGAGGGTAACATTGGCCTATTGCTTCAATTAGACGACCATTCGGGATTGCGAACTGGATGTTTTCTTATAACCCTACCTAACGGATTGTGAGGGTTGCAGATGATCAATGCCTTGATATTGCTTCCTCGAGCTTTGGCCTCTTCAAAGGCGGCGTCGTAGTCGGCGACTTCAAGAAGTGAGAACTGGTTGTCGCCTGCAAATGATACCCATTCTATGTTTACTCTTTCAGAGGATCAGAAAATGAGATGTGATAATTGCGTAACTAGAGTTCTCACCCTGTTCTCATACAAAGATCCTTCTCGAAGCCTGAATGACATGGCCGTCCGATCATGACGGCGTCACCGGGATCGCATAAGATCATGGCACTAATTTCACTAAGGCTGGTGACGCCTGCTGCGAAGGTGATTTGCTCAGCGTCGAAGTTGTTCACTGGCGAAAAGTACTCATTTAAATGGTTGGCCATGGCAGTCCGTAAACGAAGGGTGCCCGTGTCTCCTTTTCCGTACGAGCAATCTCCCTTATCAAATTGATTCTGGAGGGATATATGGTCAGCGGTCATCTTGTTTCGTGCGGATTGTGATTTCTTACGTGAGAGTTGATGAATGCTGCCAAATCATCGTGTAGGAACCCCTATGTGCCAGTTAACGTATTGACCTATACAATGATATCTATTCAAACTTGAGATGCAGGCTCACATTATGGGCATTGGTGAGTCTCACGACACCATCTGGATTCTTCACGGGGTCGTAAAGGTCTTGGCCATGGCTAATGTTAGCTTTTGACCAATCAGTGCCCCTGGCAGATAGCTTTGGAACTCTCTCGTCTATAGGAGATCAGAAAAAGTTAGCTTGGACAAGAATTCTTTAAACACCGCCATTCAAGCCTGTTTTTTTCGAACCTTCGCGTAGGATGGGAGTTTCTGTAGCGAACATCGACTCGGCTATGATCTTCTTGGGGGCACCCATTCTCAATAAGGTAGTTTGGCCTTTCAAGGTAGAAAATGGGTCACTAAAAATTGAAGACTAGGCTGAGACACAAGACGCAACTCCTTTGAAGGTCTGATCGCTCGCTTTAGTTGGGGTCGCGGGGAAGTTGTATGGGCCATTGCGCGGCTTACAAACCACATGTGAGACGAAATCAGAGCATTTCTACGTTGTACTAAACATTCGAGGACACTAAGGAGAGGGGAAGGTGATCGACCTGCTTGATGCGGCCGACAAGTACATGAGGACGGGTGGGGAATCCGTAAACAAGGGTTATTTAGAGAACCCGGGATGTCGTATCGTTACTATAGATTTGATGGGCCTGGCCTTGTCTTGAAAAGGCTATTATAGATCCGAGATCAAGATGCCCTCTTTATTTTTACGATGGTGGATATTTGAATGGGGTTTTGTACATACATACTGAATGAGCAAGCGGCCTTTCCATCCAGCTTCTCACTGACTCGTGACTTGAATGTTAGTTCGACCGTCCCACTGCAAGTTCTGTCAAAGACACTGGTGGATAATCGCTTTTTTATCATCCAGTGGGAGCCGCTATATTATTGCTGACAAAGCTGGCCCTTTGGTGCCGAAATCGCACAGGTTCTTGAACTCGCCGAATGAATTTAAACCGTGGACCTTTTCATTGCGTGACCCCAGAAACCAGGTCTGGCAGATACATCCTCGCTTCCCATCATACTGCGTGATACGCTCACGGACGGGAGCTGGATTCTCATGGCCCAGGGCCGCCCTGACACATCATGGCATTTCGTCGGCCAGGCTTCTGCATTCCCTAACGTCACTTCTGACAAGGCAAGCGCTCTCAATGAAACATATCCATGTGGAAGTAGTCGCGAGCCAAAGTCAGCTTCCTCCGCTACTGGCTGCAAGGTTTTTTTCGTGTCCGAGGAGAAAGACTCTGATGCCACACCTGTCGACCTGAGTGACCCAATCAAGGCTCTAGAGCTCAAGAATCAGGTCCTCATCTTTCAATATAACGGAAAGTTCCATGCTATTGATCATGTAAGTACTCACATTGGTATACCCTCTCTCCTTCTGCTGTCTGTTCTTCTATCAATGGTCTATGCTCTCACCTCGCGCCTACGATGCTTACAATCGCATGATGATAGAAATGCCCTCATTCCTCATTCCCATTATCACAAGGGATACCGTTTGACATCGAAGATTTTGGGGTTGTATTGAGCGCTGGGATCCAGTGTCCAAAGCACGGCTGGTCGTTCGATCTCTTCACAGGCATGGCGGATAGGAATGCGTACAAACTGACAATATGGGAACTGCAGCTACGTCCTGCAACTGTGAATCCAGAGCAAGGAGAGAATAGCCCAGACCAAGAAATTTGGGTGCGGAAGAAACCAAGGATGGGATGATGTAATATTCGTCAATCTCGGTGCTCCGAGCCATATCATGTTTTTGTAGAATAATACAGCTAAGCGACTGGCCAATGCTTCGAACATCCTTATACTCCATTACCTAAACAACACTAGAATGATCTAACGAAGACGAGGAGAATTAGGTTGGCATAATCTTGAGTGTGAAGCAAAGGTGGTCACGTGATGCATATTATGACGAAAGCGCTTAGTAACACATTCTTGGCGATGTCATTTCATCTCGAGCAAACCCATTTCCCTCCTTGCCACTTTGTTTTATCCCTCGAATGTCCTCTTTCACACTTGTGCTCTGTCAAGACGTGTAATTTGGTCTGCAGATCGTGCAATCATGGAGTCCTCACTCTCGTACCACGAACCATCCGTCGTGGTCATTGCCATTCTATCTGGCTTCCTCTTGTTAACCAATGCGGTCAATTATGGGCTGGACAAGATTGCCTATTGCGGTCTGATTGGTCAAGTTGCCATTGGCATGGCCTGGGGCACACCAGGTGCAAAGCTACTTGATAGCGAAATAGAGAATGCAGTGATGCAATTGGGCTATCTCGGACTAATCCTTTTGGTTTTTGAAGGTCAGTTCCGTTCCATCTAGGCGGGCTCTCTCATCTTAACGTCTCTTAAATAGGTGGGTTAGCAACATCTTTCAAGACCTTGAAAGCCAATATTGTCCTCTCGTCCGGTGTAGCCGTCACCGGAATTGCCGTCCCGATGGGATTTTCGTTCTCACTGCAATCCATGGTCGGCGCCTCATCGCTGCAAGCGTTTGCTGCCGGGGCTGCTCTTTGTTCGACCAGCCTCGGAACGACGTTTACAATCCTAGGAACCAGCGGCCTTTCATCTACTCGCTTGGGTGTGGTATTGACAAGTGCAGCCATGATGGATGATGTTGTGGGGTTGATAATGGTCCAGATTGTGTCAAACTTAGGCAATGGCGGTGACTTCAATGCCGTTACTGTTGTCCGACCGATCATGGTATCCATTGCGTTTGCACTCCTTGTTCCTCTTGTCTGCAGATTTGTTGTTATCCCCGTCACGCTTAAATTAAACGAGATACGGGTTTCAAACCCAACTGCGAACCTTGCTCTTCTCCTCAAACGGCCACAGACCGCTCTCGTCACACACACCTTGCTGCTTCTGGGGCTGGTAATCGGAGGCACCTATTCGGGAACTTCAAGCCTTTTAGCAGCATATATTGCTGGAGCTGCAATTAGCTGGTGGGATTCAGAAGTTGATCATCCCAATCCATCACCGGAGAGAAATTCAACCGGTGATAACGAAGCCGACTCTGCGACCCAATCAACATCGGGCGAGGCTCAAAGTCAATCAGATACCCCGATCAGCATATCGGCGAGCGAGGAGAACAGCAACACGTCAGGAATGAGCATATACGAGACCTACTACCGCCCCGCCGTCGAACATGTGCTCAAACCATTCTTCTTTGTAAGTGACCCTGTTCAGCCCTTCGGCTATCATTGTGAGCAATTTCTAACCAAATAGGCCTCTATCGGATTTTCTATCCCCATCACCAAGATGTTTTCCGGGTCCGTTGTATGGAGAGGGGTTATCTACACCATGCTAATGATAGTCGGCAAGCTTCTTTGTGGCGCCTGGCTGGTCCCGCTTGGTAGTCCCCTTCAATTCATCACAAGTCTTGCCAGGCGAGTTCCTGTATTCGACAAGCTTGTCCACAAACCTTCTTCACCAGGGTCCCAGTGCGCGAACTCGGCCCAGACAACGGATCAAGCCGCCACTACTCAGTCTGGAGACGGGGCCAACCAGGATGGAGTGGACATGAATCCACTTCCTGACCGAGCATCACAGCGTACATCTGCCGAAACCCGGAATTCAACGCCGAATCCAAAGCAACCAAAGTCTGTCTATCCTGCGTGTATCGTTGGACTGGGGATGGTAGCCCGCGGCGAAATTGGGTTCTTGGTAGCTGCCCTGGCAGAAAGCAAAGGCATTTTTGGCCGTCCGTCTGGCTCTAGCCAACCATCGGAGATATTCCTCGTCGTGACATGGGCTATTTCGCTTTGCACTGTGATTGGGCCCATCTGCGTTGGACTCCTCGTGAATAGAGTGAAACGCTTAGAAACGTCGAGCCGCCAAGGCTCGGCCGAGGGACGGGCAAACGTGCTTGGTGCTTGGGGAGTTATTTGATATTTGAGAAGGGGGTTGATTGCGGTTGGTTTGAAGTCTGGATTTGTTATTAATCCGCCAGCTCTATGGTTTTAAAAGCCGGTGACTTGGACACATGGGTTATCAATCTATTACTAATTTCTTGAGCTGCGGTAGTCCATGCATTTATAGAGTAATAGTATTGTTCCCGCCAAGGAGCAGCCTGATCCATTATTACATCCAACGAACCAATCAATACACAGATTACTCGCTCATTTAGCTGGCTGTGGACTAAGTGTTAGCTGTTATACGTAAGTCAAAATGTATGACCAACTGACAACTGGGACTTTCACTGTCAAATTTGCGTATCATACTACCTGATACAGAATGTTGGTTGTTGGTTGTTGGCTGATCCTTGTCAAAATTTCAGGCAGAGGCCGCCTCGTTCGAGGCTGATCAGGACGAGTCCTCCACAACTGTACGTAACCTCAGCTATGGGGTGATCGAGCACAGCCTTCACCGTTGGTCCTTCCTTCATATTCAAATAACGCCAGCCCACCAGTGGCCCATGAGTAGCCATTGTTCTCCTTCTCCCCTCCTACCGACAGTCCTCACTACGCAACAGCACTGCCCCATAATCATCAAGGATTAACACATCGTGACAAGTTAAATTCTCAAATTCTCTGGGGCGTGTTCGAACACCAGAACCAAGCTTTCAGTCATGTCTTTTCTCTATAACTACCGCACTATTGATAGGGCCCTGAACAAAGTCCGGCCTCCTGGATTCACAGGTAATTGGAGTCCAGTGTTTCAGGAGAGCCGACGAAATTGGCTCAGAAACATATCCAAAGGTGAGTGTTTCTCCACTACCGCTGTCTACCTCCACTCAAGCGAATTGGGTGGGAGAAGCTGACTGGCGGAAGAGTCCATATGTGCTGAATACACCGACTTCATCTTAAATGGTAGACCAAGATACGGAAGTACCCTTAGTAAAAGCGAATGCGAGGCCTTGAAAAAGGCCTTTGCTTCTCATGCTAATGCGGATAACTGTAAGTTGCTCTGGCGTCCGCTCTTTGTCATACCTTGTTTTTTTATCTTTTATTGATCGTTGGAACGTAGTATGGGACATTCAGTCACTCCAGGCTTGCTTTGCGGCACGGATTCCTCACGATGAGAACTTTAAGAAGCTCCTTGAAAATTGCGCATCTTCTCTCTGGACTCTAACCACTTACTTCACCCAGTGGCCGTTTAATGATGCCCTCTCGAAAACACCTAAACCAACAACTCTGACGTACGAATCCTGTGTCCGCGCCATAGCCTTCCTCTGCGGTAGGCAAAATAGCATGCTCTGGCCCAAACATCTAACAAGGAATGAGTCTGCGCGGACCCATATTCTGGCACTAGAGCACATCTTCCGAGCGTTGGCTATAACTCCGGAGATAGCCCAACAGGCTTCTGATTCGAGCTGTGAAGATGATTCTGCATTGTCGCCCCAACAGCGCGAGGTATTCGACGTTCTATACACAATACAGCCGAGTCTGTCCAGGTCCACCAAGAGATTGAAAGAAGAGCTGATCCCAACAGCTCGTTGGTTGTCACCCTCCCAACGTCCGGAATTATCCACCTTGTCTATCCCCACTATGACCCTTATTCCGCTCCTTGACTTTGTTACACCGCTTCTAGAGCATACTCACCTACCTTGCGGTAAGGTATTGCCTCAGAGGTTCAAGGTCCTGAGATCCAAGCTACAAAATCTTGAGGAGGTGTCGTTTAGCGACTTTACTAAGTGGTCAGGTAACGATACTATGTATAATTTTTATACTTCCATTGCCATTCTTTTTAGCACTGTTCTCTATTCAGAAAGTTTGGGGAGATAAGAGTCGCAGCACCTAAGACGTTTCGGCTTTATAGTCAACACTTCGGCCGGCTGTCAACAGCATCCGTTATGTTGCCCGGGAGCAGAAGAACAGGAAAATTGGAAGCATGGGAATTCATCTTTAGTTTGAACTGAAAGTTCATAATAAAATCGCTCATAAGGCAGTGCGCCGCAAGAAGTGTTGCAATATCTTGACCACAAACTATCACAGCCTCAACTTCTATCCATGTAGTAGACTCTCTAGAAACCAGAGATTCAAGAGTATATTTTATCCTAATTGTCTCTCTCCACTCTCAAATCGGTATGCGTGTCCCGATGTAAGTCTTACCCTGATGACATTAGACACTGATGATTGATATTTGACAAATCGCAAGGGTTAGACTAAGTCACCTGGGTACTTCGATTGTACAGGTAAATTATCACAGAACTTGCAAGTCCTATGTGATCTTCAAAAAATTGTGGCAAATTGCGCGTTTGAACATAAGTTCAACAGCCATGAGACCGTGGCAGTTGAGTGTTATGCCTCGTGGAACTACTAGCTGCATGCTTGGTTTAGAGGATTCTGGGGCACTAGCGCATAGACAATTCTTGATAGAGCTTGCATATAGGTGTTCATTAACATTCTACAATGAGTTATGTACTTTTTGTCCCGGACGGACATGGAGTGTTGCTGCCAGCGGACATGGCGTGCCCCTTTCGGAGTTGTGGACCAATCACGACACGATGACGGGCTACACTTTTAGACTTCAGTGTTGGACTGAGATAGTCCACAAGTCCGCCCCAATTCCACGAGGGTTCGAGCAATTCCGCATAGCAACTGGAACTACGTCAGTCGAAAGTATAAGAACAAGGTACTGACACTAACAATTTCGTTCCCATCGCTGCTCTCCCCTATACTGTTCTTCCTTGACATAATTTATTTACCTTGTCTGTTGAATCCCCATCATCAACGATGGCCAACTCCCCAAAATCATGCTTGGTAACAGGCTGCTCTGAAGGCGGAGCTGGTGCTGCTCTCGCGGAGGCCTTCGCAAAGAAGGGATATCATGTTTTTGCGACAGCACGATCTCCATCCAAGGTACCACGGTCACTACACGAGGCATCTAATGTAACCGTTCTCGCACTGGATATCACATCTTCCGAATCCATCGCAAGTGCAGCTGAAGAGGTTCGAGAAAAGGCAGCCGGGAAGCTGGATGTTTTGATCAATAACGCTGGGATGGGGCTGAGTGCGCCTGGTCTGGACACGCCCATGAGCGATGCGCGGAAACTCTTCGATATCAACTTCTTTGGGGTGCTGGAGATGGTACAAGTATTTGGTCCTCTTCTGGTTGAGGCTAAAGGCTTTATCGTCAATAACTCTTCCGTTGGAGGTCAATTGCCATTGCCGTTTTTAAGTATGTATCTTGTTGACCCGTGTACTCACCAAGGCCATGAAATCTCGAGCGCAGAGTCTAATCTAATCTGTTCGCGTGTTTAGGCGTATATCAAGCAACAAAGGCAGCCATTATACAAGCAAGCGAGGTATGGCGGCTTGAACTGGCCCCCCTGGGTGTGAGGGTTCTGACGCTGCTCACTGGCGGCATTGCCACACATTTCGTGGACAACCAACCTTCTCCAGCGCTCCCACCGAACTCGTACTACCTGGGAGTCAAAGACGTGATTGACGAAAAACCAGATAATATACGTTTTGCTGTCAGTCCAGAAACTTTCGCCAACGACGTGTTGCGGCACGTTGAGAAAGGGACAACAGGCAAGCTTTGGATTGGTGGCGGAGCTGGCCTTCTCCGCACACTCCTCTGGTTCTCCCCCCAGAGCCTGATTGTATGGCCTCCCTGCCATTCTCTTATATACAATCCGAGTACTAATATTCGTCGTTCTAGGACTATCTGGCACGGGGTATGAAGCCCTTTGCCGAGAAATTAGCAGCCGCCCATGAGAAATCTGCCTAGGGGATAATAAATGTCCGAGGAAGTTGATAGATTTCCTATGTCTTGCTCCTTGATCATATTCACTCATGTTTTTGTTTCGGTCGAATAATCGTTCATTTCTATTTCTCGGTAATTTAGATGAAGGGCATCATCCAAATGGAATATAGCAGAGCATAGTTCTGTCTTGTCTACTTTAATGTCCACTCGTAAATTTAAGTAATATATAACCACTTAAATCTCTTACTTATTCTATGTATTTATGTCCATTCATGCTGAAAATTCAACGTGAGAACCCCGATCTACTACGTCTGGTGCCAGCTTGCTCAAACTCGGGGTCTGCATGATATTGAATATTGACAATTCCCCCCCTTGACTGAAGAGCATATTGCGCACCTCCACACCCACAAGGGAATCGACGGCCTGCTGTGAGGGTGATTGAGTTAAGTCGACCTCCTCAGCTGGAACCATGAACATGTCTGGCAGCACATCAGCTCAGGCCGGACCGGCCACGCAGATGGCCTCGTCCCGAGACGAGCATGCCGCTATCCTTACCGCCAATGTCTGTCTTACTCAGACCCGCACAATTGCCTACCTAGGTATGTATGACGGAACCGTGCAATGCATCATCACGTGATACATGGTCACGGCTTGTTAACAACTATGTATGTTGGTCGCCATCTTCGTACCTTTGTAATCTGAACAAGGCTCACCTCAACATCCTTCAACACCAGTGGAACATAGCCCAAAGTGCATAATGAACAAAAAGTCGATCCTTTAGTTTTCTTTGCCACTTTCCTTGTCCATCATTCCCATCTCGACAATACTCCGGATTGAAGTCTTCTCTCCCAAAGCCCCTTGGCTCGCTCGTTCACTCCTGAATATGCCTACAGGTAACGAGCATCCTCTAAGCCTCCAGTTGTCTACGAGATGGTAAAATTAACGATTGAAGAATCTCAACTGCGCACTTTATCTGCCAGGCTTCTCACAGCCTGCAAGCAAGGCTCCGTATCTACTGTTCGGTCCATCATACCTACTCTTTACCCAGCTGCTTCATCATCCGCTGCAACTGCTGCTGCGATCGCAAGCTCATCCATTGTTCCACCTCTGACCATCCCTCTCGCAACGGCAGCTTCCCACGGCCAAGCCTCTGTTCTCAAGTATCTTCTCACTTCGCCACCGTGCTCCACCTCACGAACCCCCTGGAGCCCCGGTATCTCAACTCCCATCTCGTCTCTCCCTGATGAATGGAAAGAAGCTCGATACTCATGTCTTGTCCCTCTATATGCCGTGAAGTCCAAATCCCCAAGCGTGGTGCAGGCATTGCTGGATGCAGGCATGCACGTTGACGAAGAAATAGAGAAGATGGGCCCGCCACTGAGTATCGCCATTCGAACGCAGAGTTCAGAAATGGTCAATTTTTTACTGGACAAGGGGGCAGATGTGAATGGGGTGGAATGGATACCACCAGTGAGTTTTTTGGCCAGTGCCGCAGAACGACCATCCCTCGACATCTTGGCTGCACTGTTGGACCATGGGGCAACCCTGCCAGGATCCCACGCTCTGAGGACAGCAGCTGAAGCGGGCAATATTAGTGCGGTGGAGATGCTATTAGAGAGGGGAGCGGATATAGATGAGGTTCATAAATGGGACATCTATGGTAATGAAATGGATATTATTGGAACAGCCTTGCACGAGGCAGTGGAAAACGACCAGGCTGAAATGGTCAAATTTCTACTGAAGAGGGGCGCAAAAAGAGATGTGAAAAATGGTAGGGGCGAGACGGCAATGGATGTTGCGGAAAAGGACAACAAGGAAGAAATTCTCAAGATTCTAGATGGGAACATCGCTTAAAGGACTACTGCTCTATGCTGTGGTTCAACCGAGGACTTGATTCAATCACAAGATTTCTTCTAGACTTTGTTTTCACCACTGCCGTGTCCTCGACATTAGACAGAGGAGAGATGTGAAATGATCCGGAAGCCGCTAAAAGAGGGAATTTAACACAGTTTATGGCTCCTCCTGTGCTGTCATTTTTCTTTCAAGAGGCCCTGTCAGACGCCGAAATTCTAATGCACATCTTGCCTCGCTAGGAATGAATGCCATTTAGTTTTTCCAAATCTCCCAACTTCTCCTATTCCACAATCCGGGTCTGTAAAATGGATTATTCTCCTCTTTGTGATTCTCGATGCTTGAGCTCCCTGGTTCCTTACTCTGAACGGTTGGTCTCTTCTTCGGTTTTCTCTGCTGTCTGAACTTGCTGCATCTGCATGCGCTTCATCATCTCAGCCGCCTCAAAGGCATACTTGCACTTCATCCTCAGCGCGCCGCCATAACGATGCATTACCCAAGGGAATGGCATGCAAGCCAGTGTCAAAAAGGCCGGTATGGAGCTTGCCCACTGATTCCCTAGGTTCTGATACATCTGGGGCGTGAAAAGGGGGAACACAGCACCGACGACGGCGCGAAAGATAGCAGCAGCTGCCAGGACGGACGCTGCGTAGATGGTGTAAGCATCGATGAGATAGTTGACAATTGGCAGGATAACAAGAACACAGCCGAAGCCAAATGGCGCAGACAAGATGATACCCACGGACCAGTGAATCCAAGTATAGTTGGTCCAGGCAAAGAGGAACATTCCGACCGGTAGAGCGACGGCGCCAGCCATTGCTGGTGGCAAGCGTGACTCCGGGGTAGACTTTTTGGCCAGGAACAGCTTCATGAATCTACCATTGTTGTCGTAGATTGCACAGATTAGACCTATAATGATTCCGACGGCAATGCCCAAGAAAGAAAGCCCGACAATGCCCTCACCCCAGCCACGATCTTTGCCGTAGACGATGGGCATGGCAGCCATAAACATGTACACGGTACCATAGATGATGGCCATGTAGATCGAGGCCACAAGAACAATGGGCTCTTTGAAGAGCAATACCCACGGCCGCACCAGTGCCCTCCGGAAAACCTCAGATGGCTTCTTCTTAACCTGGCCTTTTTCGAGAACGCTGATGTAGACCTTGCCGTCTGCTTTCGACAATTTACGGGCCTTTCTAAGGAGAAGGAGAGGTCCGTATGTTTCAGGGACGAACACGATTCCAAGGATACCAACAAGCCCTATGAAAGCACAGCAGACCCCTTGAACCCACCTCCATCCAGCGCCTTCAGAGATAAATCCTCCTATGATTGGGCCAAGAATGGGGCCGAGAAAGGGAGCAACACAATACAGTGTCATGGCGAGACCTCTCTGGGCAGGGGGGAAGATGTCGGCAATAGCACCACCAGAGTTGACCAGAGGTGAGCCTCCAAATGTGCCACCGAAGAATCTCAGAATGAGGAGCGTTTGGATATTTTTGCTTCCAGCAGAGCCTCCAATAAATCCCACCATGGCAATGTGGGATATTATCCAAAGAATTTGTCGTCCGTAAAGCTCCGACCTATTTGATATTTGATCGCTCATGATTAGTTCAATGCAAATACCAAAATATTTTCGATCTAAGAACTCACTAAAAATTACGAATAAATCGTTAGCTCGTTTAAACGCAAGAGAGAAAGAGATCTTAGGTATTTGTGCTTACCAAGGGACCCCATAGTGCAGGGCCAATTGCAAAACCAAGCACGTAAAGAGTAACACCGATGATGAATACCACATTGCTAATGTTGAATTCTTCAATGATCTCCCGGGAAGAGACAGAGTACGCCGAGGAGGTATACGTGACTGCAAAGACGGACAGAGTAACAATAGTTGTAATCAACCACTTCCTAAACTTTCCCCAATTTATGGGGTTTTCCGGGTCATCTTTAAGGAATTCTACAACAAAAGGATCTTCCTCTGTTCCTTGCCCATCAAAGGTATGTGATTTCTCGACGTCGATGGTAGTCGGTGCCTTGTCACTGTCGGTTGGAGAAGACATGTTGGCGCAGAGAACTTAACAATACACCCAGAACGCGTTGGAAAAGCGAGATAGAGGTGGTATTTTGTAATTCTAGAAATATAGTAGATCAAATAAATAAATATACAACAAGAATTCGATATGAATGACGAAGGCTCGGAGCTTCCCAGGACGAAGAGACAGACACAGGGCGGAAGCGTATCTCATTGGCTCATGCCGTGACCTTTACATTTGTCAGCCCGTATCAATTTAATATTTAAGCCAATTAAATATCGGTCCGTTATGGGTTACTTTTGGGAGAGCGGACAGCATGATCATTGGCTGATTTCATCTTGACTACAACATCATCATCTCTTTCGATTTGGCCGCCAATAGCCTGTATAAAGAACTACTCTGATTCTGATAGAATGGACTGTCGGTCTAGTGAGCAACGGCATGAACCAATCAAGCCATTCCGCAGGCAACGCTTGAAAGTCACGAGCGCCTGTCAAGCTTGTCGACTGAGGAAGATCAAGTGTGATGGAGGGCGGCCAGGTGGGTATCACTTCAATGTCCGACCTCATCCGTACAGGAGACTTTTGCTGATATGAGATGTCTACACATCCAGTATGTAATAGATGTCAGGTCAAAGGGAAAACCTGCGCTTACAGCCAAGGTTCCGCCCCCCTGGAGCAACAAACCCAACATACGCCGCCGGTCAGCCAGAAATCTGCTCCACCAAAGCACCATCACAAGCCCATACTGCCTACACCCGTATTTCCCTCTCTTTTAGCCGTGGAGGATCACTCTTCTGAACCTTCTTCGATTTCAGCAACCTCAACCGCCACTCCAGCGACAAGTCAAGACTCTGAACCGGAGTCGGATCAGAACCGAGTATGTTTCGCCGCTCATGGCCGCTTTGCAGGCGAGGTCGCCGCTGCAATTGATGTCAGAGCTGGTGTAGCTCCAGGGACTACTTCGAACCTTGTTCCTTTCGTGGATGCGCCTCTGTTTGGCGAAATAGACCTTCTAAATCCGCAGATTGGCTTTGGCTACACACTACCGCCTCGCGAGTATGCAGACAAACTAATTGATATATACTGGAAATACATTGACCCAGTGGAACCGGTTCTGGATCATGAACGCTTCTCACAGGATTATGAGGCCGTTTATGCGGGAGAGGCAGCACTGCCTCATGCAGATCGTGACACCTGGCTGTGCATTTTCAACATCGTCATCGCTTTAGCCGTTCAGCGACAAGAATCTATCCCTTTGGAGAAACGAGACGCTGAGGCGAGTCATTACTTCCAACGCGCGTGGGCTCTTCTCCGTCCAGAGGCCATACTTTGGAAGCCTGGATCTATTGAGCTGGTGCAAAGCCTGATGCTCATGAATCGGTATCTGCACTGCACAAATAACCAACAAAAAACATGGATGACTGCTGGATTGGCCGTAAGGATCGCGCAAGGCATGTGCTGCCACTTACCGGAATCTTTATCGACCAGAGACTCTTCTAGCGATGCCAAACTGAAGCATCGAGTTTGGGTCAGTTGCGTTGCCTTGGATCGGTAAGTGTCACTCGCTGCTCATAACAGACATAAACGAGCCCCGTTACTGACTCTGATCCAGGTGCGTTTCCTGGTCACTGGGCAGGACATCAGTGCCATCTTTGGTCCCCCTACCCATGAGGACGAATTATCCGGCGGCAAATGGCACCTCCCACATAGGTGCTGAGCATGCTGATAAGCTGAGACGCAAGATGGAGCTTCATGAAATTGGAAATCAGATCCAACTAGCCCAAACGCAGACGCGGAACGGGCTCGCCTCTGGCTTAGGTCTCCCGCGTCTGTATCAACACGATGATTACCTTTCGGTCACCGTGCAGCTCGACCATTGTTTGAGCAAATGGGAGAAAGGTCTCCCAGACGAGTGGCAACTACAAAACCTTCCTCATGTTACCGACCGAGCTTCACAAGCTGAAGGATACCTGTTTCGGTTACGGTAAGCAAGTTCGATGGTCTCCTTTCCCACAGAATGATCTTCTTATTGTAGTTTCCCTGTTGCTAATAACGGTGCCCTAGTCTCTTACATTCACGTATTTTTCTATTTCGGCCCATGCTTGCTCGATTCTACTCAATGAAACCTCAGCAAGTGAATTACCAGGCCTCATCCAGCACTCCGAGCCTAATCGACCGGCTGTTGAAAGACTCTTCCGCAATGTGTATCGACGCAGCTCAAAAGATTGCCTTTCTCATCAACCAAACTCTCACTCCCTCAACTGAATCAATCAGCCTTCTACCATGGTGGTACCGAGTCTACTACTTGCACATCGCTGGAACGATCTTCTTGGCCGCCATGTTTGCATCCGATCTCTACACTCCATCCGTGTCGGAGTCGTGGAGTATTGTTTTATCAGCTCTTCGAGCACATACACACCTCAGCGCATACGTCCAGCAATGCATCCACACGTTTGAGACACTGTCGGCTAGGATCTTACAAACAAAATTCCCATCCTCTCATAGCTGCATGGTAGACATGCCGCTTGGCGGGACATCTACTTTCTCTTTTGGCGACCTCTTCGAGGATGTGGGCTTTGATTTTGATACTTTTGTATTTGGCATGGAAGATTTCCCTGAGAGCTAGGAACAGCATTCAATTAAATTTGTGAAAGGTTTTGATGTCATAATTCTGTGTTACATTCACCCTGCTAATTTCACAGGATTATCTTCGCATGTCGAAACCCAACATCTTGACTACCTTGCTCAGCTAGCAGAAACAAATATCACACAATCTACACCATGCTGTAGTTTTCATAAAAGACGATCTCACTTTATGAGGATACATGACAGAGTCGCTTGTCGTCAGTTTCTTACTCCCCAGTGTGGTATTTCCCCAGAATATACCACCAGGTCATACTTGTTCTTTGTGCAGAGGAGAGTGTTGGTTCACGCCGTAAAAAGTCTCCTGCCATTTTGGTTCCCGGAAGTCGGCTCGGTCCAGATAAGTAGTGGATCTTTCAGGGAGTCAGCCATGTCTAACATCAGCTAAAAGAGCTCTATATACAGCCTACAAACCCCCCATTTAGTGGATTACTGAGGCCTAGAGATGTCAACCTGGCCTTTTTGCCAGATGGTGTGATTACACGATTACCTCCAAACACACCTGGCGTCATGGCAGAAACGAAAGAACCAACTCTCTACGGAAACTTGGACGCCTCTGTCCCGGAAATCAGACTCTTCGCCCTCCTTCCTTCTGCCCAGCCCAACGCACCTCTCGTGGGGCAACTCCAGGTCGTATCTCTGCATTCTACTCCGCCGTACGAAAGCTTGTCCTACGCCTGGGGTGCACCTGAGTTCACCGAACCCATCCTCGTCAACGAGCAGACCTTGTTCGTGACGCCCAATCTCGATTCAGCCCTACGTGCCCTGCGTCATGAGGAAATACCCCGACTGCTCTGGATCGATGCCATCTGCATCAATCAGAGGTCGCCACGGGAGCGGGGTCACCAGGTGACGCTGATGCGAACCATCTATTCAAAGTGTGAGCGCGACTTGCTATGGCTCGGACCGAACACGCATGTCGAAAACAACGATTACATGAACCCAAGTGAGGATCTTCTCGGGGAGGGAATGCATCTGATGAGGGGCATCGCGGACAAAGACATCTCGGTGCTGGGGGTGATGGGCCACAAATGGGCTGCTTATAAGAAGAGTCGGATAAAGATATTTTTGCGTATTTTGGAGAGACAACAGAATGAAAAGGATGTGCCTGATGCTGAACTGGCCGCTAAGATAAAGAAGAAGGAGGCAGAATTATCAGGCACCGCAAATGACTCAGCTTGGCTCCTATCATACGACGAGCAAACGGCCCTTGAAAGAATTCTCACTTTCCCTACGGTTTGGGATCGGTTGTGGGTGATGCAGGAGCTATCATCGGCCCCAAAGATTCAGCTTGTTGGAGGCAGACATACGCTCGATTGGGATGTCATCTCCGGATTCTTGGGCGATACACCGTATGCAGATGCCTTTCACGCGACGTACTCTCACAATACGGTTCAGCCTTGTGTGGGGAGAATATTCGAGACCGTACAAAAGATTGATCATCAACGTCGGATCATGAAGGAAGTCACTGCTGGGCACCGCGAGTCCAAGCTGATGGATGTTCTTGCGCGGTTTCGGGACACAAAATCAAGCGATCCACGAGACAAGATATATGGTCTGCTAGGCCTCGTCTCAGGCAAGATCAACATTGAGATCAGTTACGAGTTGACCCCTCAGCAAGTATTCGCCAGTGTTACGGCTGCTATCATCAATGAGTCAGGGAATCTCGATATCATCTGCCAACGTCCTTGGACGTCCAACACCGGGTTTATATCCTTTGCAGATGGCCAAGAAAGCTCAACAGGGCAAGATAAACTCCCATCTTGGGCTGCTGATTTCTCCAAAGGCGGCCAAATTCACCTTTTTGCTCAGAGGGCAATCTTCCAAGCAGGCAGGCCGTCTTGCAAGGTACCGTGCCATGTGATAAATGGGAGCGTCCTCCACACAAAAGGAACGGTCTTGGGCCGAATTGGTCCAATATTGCAGCAAGACTCCGTCGGACCACCGCAGCAAGGCGCGGGTTCTACTTGGATACCGCTTGAATGGCTTAAGCTTTACCTGGGATGCAATGTGCTGTCCTCATCCGAGTCGTATCCTTCTTATGTGACAGGCGAACCGGCTTCCACGGCCTTTTGGCGGACATTGGTTGTGGACTGTGCGGCATATCCTATGACCCGACTTGCAAAGAGCCAGGTGGAAGAAGAAGACTCAGCGATACGAGCAAGATGGTTACAGAAACTGAACGAGCCAACTGGCCCCGAGACAAAGCCCAGTTACGGTGACGAGCCATTCATCAATCCTGGGATTCACGCAATGTGGCAACGTATCACCTCTGACTGGGTGTTTTCAACTACAACAAACGGACTGTATGTGTTGATCATGGCGCCGGCGAAGGAGGAGGATATCATCGTCTGCCTAGATGGCGGCAAGGTTCCCGTCGTC